CCAGATAATATGACAGAAGATATGCCAGATAGAATGCCAGAAGATTTGCCAGATAGAATGCCAGAAAATATGCCAGAAGATATGCCAGATAGATATGCCAGAAGATATGCCAGAAGATATGCCAGAAGATATGTCAGAATATATGCCAGAAGATATGTCAGATAGAATGCCAGATTGAATGCCAGAAGATATGTCTGATAGAGTGCCAGAAGATATGCCAGATTGAATGCCAGAAGATATGTCTGATAGAGTGCCAGAAGATATGCCAGATAGAATGCCAGAAGATTTGCCAGATAGAATGCCAGAAGATATGCCAGATCATATGCCAGAAGATATGCCAGATAGAATGCCAAATAGAATGTCAGAAGATATGTCAGATAGAATGCCACAAGATTTGCCAGTAAGAAAATGTATAAATGTCATGGTGGGGATCACACGAAGTAAAGTTTTTTTTTTTGTGGGGCCCATGTGAGTTGTCCGAATATATATATATACATATATATATGTACATGTATAATTGTATAACTCATCACTGCAATTACAGCTAACTTGCCATTTTTCTGGGGGTATCCTCCAATTCGATACACCTCCATACTATGACTCCATACTGTTGGTTTTTCAGTTATATCAAGTTATATCCAATTAACCTCCCTCCATATCCCATTCTATCCCTTCAAATTGTTGGTTTATCCCCGTAACTTTCTTACATTTAATACCAGTACTGGAGAAACTATAAAGGATATCCATGAGATATTTCATGATAGTTCCATATATTTCCCCAATGGAGGGTTTAAGGTCTCTCATTTGTCTCCATTTCTATCACCGCTGCTGCTCAAACGGCTGAGGTGATCACATGGCTGGCACCAGCACTACTAGCTCGCGTAAGTCGAAGGCTCATAAGGCGCCGGAGACGGACTTGGCCCATGAGTTTGTGTGACCATGTGTGACCCAATATGGAGGTTTCCAAAGCCATGGGAGTATCTCCCCAAATCATCCAAATCAATCCACCTTCAAATTTCAGCTACGAAATGGGGAGGACTTGGGCTACAGTACAGATTGCCAGCCAGCATTTTTTTGTACAAACAGGAGGGGTTGTGCCCCCCATTTTGTATTTGGAATCATTTTGTAGTTGATTCCTTTCAAATCATGCATTTTCATTTTGTAGTTGTATATGTTGAGTTAGTTGAAGCATCCAACATAAAATTCATTAGCATTTTGTAGTTGTACAAGTTGAATAGTTGAAGCATCCAACATAAAATCTCATTTGCATTTTGTAGCTGTACAGGTTGAATAGTTGAAGCATCCAACTAAATCCAATCATTGACAACTACAAAATGTTCTCCGAATTTATGTTGGTCGGAACTTTGGATGGCAAAGACCCAACTACAAAATGTCATTGGGAAAAATCATGTTAGAAATTCCGACGTTCAGCTATTTTTTTGACTTCAGATGCATTGGATTTTGTAGTACTGGTTTTGAATTATTTTCCGAGCCAGAAAGAGTTATGTTCTTCATTTTGTAGCTGAAAAAAAAGTACATGGACTTGGATTTTGTAGCTGTGCACCCTATGCATTCCGCTCTGTATCTACCAAAACCATCTGCACAACTCCTCCCCCCTTATCTGAACCCCGATCCAAATCATTAGACTACTTAAAAATTGTATTGAAAGAGGATTTTGGGGATAACCATTTTAAGAAACCCCTATATGATTACATGAGATCTAGCCTGATCTAGCCACTCCAAGTATCCCATAATAAAGTGTAAAAGTACTCATGAGGTACGATGCCCATTTGGGTACTTGGAGGGTCTAGGTACATATCACAAAATATTTAGTTTGCTATAGAACAAAGCACTATAGGGTCCTGATTTTGGCTTGGTGCCATGCAATGAAGCGATTTTGGAGGAGCAAGGGGAGCCAAACGGGAAAGACCATGTCAAAGCTCCACAGCCACACTGGAAGCAGCAAAAAGTCCGCGTCAGACGTCAGCATCACCCAACAAAAAAGACGCTTGGCGCATCGGTGCATTTCTTTCACACATGATGACATTTGTTTTTTTTAATCTCCAAAATCAGCAGTTTGACCCGCTACCGCATTTCTGTAGTGGTCTAGTGATCGACTCCCCCAATTTCGATAGAGGGATGAAAGGGCATGCCTTTTTTGTTTGGCTCGTGGTTTCCAGCAGCTGATCTTGTTTACATTTGTTTACCAAAAAATCCAGATATGTAAATTTCTGAAGATCGCCATATGATTCTGATTTGATTCTGGGATTTCTGGGCAAATTTCCCCACATTTTCCCCATGTTTTTAAGGGGATTCCGACAGCTCGGGCAGGCTCCCGACACTGTCCTGGTCCTCAGATTCGTGGCGATTTCACCCAAAATATTGGATCGAATGAGAAGCGAAAAAAAACCACCAGAAATATACCCCGAATGGTTGTTGAAAATGTTGTTTCATGTTGTTTCTAAGGATCTAAGGGATGTCATCCCAAATCCTTTTTTGTTTCATGTTGGTTGGATCATAGTTTGGATGAGCTTCTGCTTAAAGGGCGTGCGCTGATTGATACGGAGAAACATCCTATTTTAGTTGTGTGAATTTCCATGATACACTATTTTTAATTTCTACTTCCCATCACTTTTTAAAAATCACTAGGTCTAGTCACTAGGTATCAAATTTTGTGTGAACATATTAATGTTGATATAATTTAATATATATATATACGTATATAGATATTCATAATTAAAATTAACAGCTTATATTATATTATATTGCTATTTCACCGTATGTTATTAACAGATCGAAAACACACACACACAAACAAAAACAAACATCGAGCCTTCGAGCCATCGCCACGGAGCGCAGCCGTATATAGCAGCTAAGCGACCTCAAAATAGGTAATGGGAAAACATATTATACATATATGTGGATCTATATATATATATATGATGAATTAATATATATATTATATTATATATATAATATATATTTAGCAACAACAAAATAGGTCATAGAAAAGTGGGACACCTGGAAGTGGTACATCTATGATCTATGCCATCCAGTTTGCACACTTTCCCCAGCTTTTTACGGCATCGCCGTTTTGCCCAGGTGGACGATGATGTTCCCGTTGGTAAAGGCGGTCGCCAGCGCAAAGTTCTGAAAGAGAGTATCCAGGCCGCGGGTTGCACGGGTTGATGCGGGTTGCGGGGAAAACTGAGGTGAAACTCTAAGATGGGTATAACACCACGGTTAGGAATTAAAACATATTAAAACACATACTGTAAGTTGGGGATAACTTGATACAACTTGATATTTTTCTATGCTGAAGTATATCCACTGAGTTCACTGGAACTGCACACACCCATAGGGAGCACCCAGTGGATATGCTGTCGTCGAAAGGCCTGATCAAATACCAATGATGGGCTACTGGTATTCCTGAATGTGTTTGCTGATTCTTCACCTGCCATACACTGTTTGATATTACCCACATGGATTACCAGATTACCACAATCCTTCAATGATGGACCCTACCAGTGGTAACTCAGTTATTTCACTCCACGAAACTGGTACAGGTATTCAACCTGACTGGAGGGTAGCTAGACTCCTATGTTTCCTGCACAAATCGGATGAAAGCACGAACACGTTGGATAGTTTTTCTTGCATAAAGTACCAATTGATATTCTTTATGCTTACAACTTGTGAGTCTAGATATTTGACAACTCCGTCAATCGGTCAACACCAATTATGATATACAACCCCATTTGGGTTTGTCTGAAAGTACGGAACCCCAGAATTCAGTTCAGTAATCACCATTTTACCATATTTTCCCATTAAGATCGCAATTTCGTATACCAACCACAATTATCAGACACACTCAAAGTTTCATATATTGTTGGTCAGTAGTTACATCACCATTGTATGCTCAATTGCCCACATAATGGCTGATCATTGTTTGCTAAATCCCATAATTCCAAATAGTGAGTGATCCCTGGCTCATAAATCCATATAAATCCCCATTTCCTGGGTTATTTTATTTATAAGTGGGTAAGTGTCATATTACAAATATATATATATATAGACATAAGCCATTTGACGAGGCCCCTAGGGACCCAGTCGCGTTTTCAGGGAATCACCAAGCCAGCCATTCGACGTCTGGCACGCCGCGGTGGTGTGAAACGTATCAGCGGCTTGATCTACGAGGATAGGATCCGGAGTTGGAGTGACTCGCCCGTGTCGCAAACCTTGCAACGGGATCCGATGAAAACATCGTGAGATGTGATCAAAGCTATGTCATGTTGCAACACTTGCAATGTCCAACCCATCATTTTCCCTACTAAATTTCGACCTAAAACAAGGGTGGAGTGGGATGGAGCAGTTCCCAGGATTGGAACCCAAAAAATATGTTGGTTCCCTAATGGCCCCCTACTATCTTGTTACAGTATTGGGGCTCAAAAATCCCAAACAACTCCAGTTTTGGGTATTACCCATACTTGGCTTATCTTGGCTTTGTCCAGGAGACAAGGGGTGTTCTGAAGACGTTCTTGGAGAATGTTTTGCGTGATTCGTCCGATCCTGAGCAAAGTAATTTAAGCAGTGAAAGGATGCAGACATGACTTTACCAAATCAAACATGGGGTCAAGTCATTAGGTTAGCAACGGATTCAATAAGGATTCAGTGTGAGTCAAAGGACCCAGGCAATTCATGGCAATTCATGATTCTCAGTATTTAAGCATCCATTTTGGAGGGACTTCAATGAGGGATCCTCCAACTTGCCTATTTGCCTATCATTTGTGGCTCCCTCCTATGAAAATTCTCACCACTGCTGAATGTATACTAACCCCCAAAAAGATAGGACAATAAATGAACATAATCTATCACTATCTATCACAGTTCTTCATTTTTGTTTGCAGGATGTTGTTATGTTCCATCCATTTTGGTTACCCTCTGGTAAACTAACATAGCTATTGAAAATAACCATTTATAGTGGATTTTCCCATTAAAAATGGCCATTTTCCATAGTTATGTTAGTTTACTAGAGGGTACCGAAAAAAAAAAAGTGAAAAACAACGGGTGTCACCAGGATTACCTACACCGAGCACGCCCGACGCAAGACCGTCACGGTTACTCGAATGGCTGGGAGTTGAGAAGCTGTTTGTGAATACGAACCGGTTACAGTTACAGCCCTTAAGACTTTAAAACTGGTTTATAATGATTAAGTAACTAATATATATATATGTATATTATATAATTATATATATATTATATAATTATATATATATAATTATATATATATATATGTATATACACAACATGATATAACCTCATTTAAGTGAGATATATATATATGTAACTTCAGTTACATGAGTTATAATCCCATTTTGATAATTGTAGGGGCCAATGACTGTAACAGGTTAGTACTTGTGGGGTTTGTTCATCCAGTTGCACATTACAAATAGAAAGTAATATATTATGGCTACCTTTGTATACTTTTGTTATAATTGTGGATTGTTACTCTACTCTTATTATAATTGTGGATTGTTACCTGGTAAGCTTTAACCCAGTTATAAATGGGTTAACACACTGCACGGGGACAAAACCTAACCTGGTCTCCTGGTCTAACCAGTTACGATTCGTTTTTTTATGATCCTCGAAATAAGCCATTGATATTATCACTGTTTAGGGGGGGAACCCCCCTAATGTGGTAAACCCAATAATAAACCATATAAACCATCCCCATCCCCGGGCCCCTTTTGGGATGTAAGATAACCATCCAGTCACGGTTGATGGCATGGTGGCGTTGGGGGTAAACCTCGATCGACCAAGGCTTCAAGGTCTATTGATGTGGTGTTGACACTACACTTTAGTGCACGTTATATTTACCCTCTGGTAAACTAACTATGGAAAATCACCAGTTTTAATGGGTAAATCAACTATAACTGGCCATGTTCAATAGCTTTGCTAAATTACCAGAGGGTATCGTTATGTATCGTTTTTGGGATAAGATGGCTAAGCACCACATAGCTCGCGAAAAGCTGTTCACCCACGTAACGCAAAGAAAATCAACATACCACGATGCAAAGTGATCACCCGAGGCTATGGACATTGTCTACGCTCTCAAGCGCCAGGGACGCACCATCTATGGATTCGGTTCATAGGCGGCGCCATGGGATCACGAGGGAGGGTCATTGGATCACTGGAGATTTTTTGACTTTAACTGGAGTTTCCCTCGACCGCACAAAAAACCGTCAGATCCCAAGCAGGCAAGGAGGCGTGCAAGAAGCAGTGAGGTTGGCACCGAGTTTTTCATGTCATCTTTCTGTTTTCTGGAGCACTTGGCATCTGTCCAATCTGTCCAAGATGTATCAACATATTGAGGTGGGTTTTGCGAAGCGTTTTGAGAATTGGTGCCAACCGCAGTTTCATCATGCCATTTTCAAGGCATTCAAAGTACCATTAGAGTTTCTTGAACTCCTACTGAACAAGTCGGGTTCAAAGTTGGGGCTGCAAGCCACCCCCCACTGAGCCGCGGCTCACAGTCACTCCGTTCAGTGGGGCCGCGGGGGCCGCCGGGGCCGCTGGGTGCTTGCAAAAAATCACCAGGACCAGGTGTGGCTTGCCGTGAGGTTCAGGAGCAAGCTGACTGGCAGGAAAAGACTGGCTGAGAACGCTTAGATCGGTGCATTTCTGGTTGTTTTTATGGAGCAAATGGTGAGATTCTCAGAGCTAAAATCTGGGCACCAAGTCCAATCCGGCAGGCTTTTGGATTAGCTTGGCATGTGGTCAATCTGGTCAGCAGAACACCAGCTGAAAAGCAGTGAAAAGCTGATTATTTTGACACCTTCAATTCATGAGTCAACTGTGTCCATACTCAACTGATCTCAACTGCATCATACATATACAATCACATACATAGCATACACATATTGTCATATTGTTATATTAAGATAATTGATTTCCTACAGCTGCAGCATTGACGGGTCCTACAAGTTCGAAAGGCACAATTGCTGGTCGACGCACGGGTCGAAATCGTTTGGATCAGTTGGTCATTTGATACCTGAAATGCATATGTTTTGGAGTTTTTTGACGGGGTTCTGAAACTTAGAGACATCCTTAGACTCTCCAAGTACCATGAAAAAATGTTTCATATATGCATGTATTATGTATATATATAATTATTATTAATAAATATTATATTAGATATGCCCATTATTTTGGGAGCTTTACGAATTGTTATGGCTACTTGGAGGGTCTCATGTCCGCCAAATGTTCTCTGCGAAAATCTCGCAGATGTTTCGGTCGAGAATCGCCAGGTCATGTGCGGCATCTTGGCACTCTTCGGCTTGCAGGTCACGGGTTCAGCAACAATGAACTGGGCACATGAAAACAAGAACGGGGATTCAAGGATTTGTTTCTTCGGGTAGTTCTTCTGTAGACGGAGATTTAGTTTCTTGGATTATTGATAGAGTCTCCGACATGGAAGACGTTGTTTGAGGATTTTCCACTCCAAGAGCTGGCCGCAACAATTTGTTGTCTCTAAACCAAAATGCACAATCATGCAAAAATCTCACCACTTCGCGTTGCCTACTGGTTGGTGCTTTCTCTAGGGTTGATTCATAGTCCATTCAGTTCTTGAAAAAACTGCTGTAAAGCAAGGTCAGTGTATGTTATATAGATTTATAAAGAATGTATGTATGTACATTCTGTCTAGATCTACATATTCTAGGGGTCGCGGGTCGGGTGGTTGGTGGTTTTGAGCTTTCAACGTTTTTGATCAATGGAGGCTGACCTCTAACCAGGGTTGATGGGGATTTTATGACAGCTGGTTGGTGGTTTGGAACCATGGAATTTTATGACTTTCCATATATTGGGAATAGTAACCGCAACTGACGAACTCATATTTTTCAGAGGGGTAGGTAAACCACCAAGCAGTTATAGTATATAGATGTATATAGGAACTTAGTCACCTTTAAGGATTTCGGTGGCGTCAGGACGCAGGACCTCTGCGGAAGCAGGTGGTTGAGGCTGCGAAGCTCCTGCGCATGGAAGCTCAGTTGCTGGCTGCTGGCCCAAATAAATCCATATCCAGATTGGTGGCTAAAGATGCCATCCATAGAACACATGGGTTGGTGAAAAACCACCAATTTTAGTCAAGCAATTTTTTTCGATAGGTTCGCAATGGTTTATCTTTGCTTGTATAAGTCAGATGCTGGGACGACCTTGGAATATGTTTGTTTGATTTGGAATAGCCAAATGCTGGATAATGATGTTAAATGGCTGCACCGAGCAGACCAAGAATGGGGATTTCACTTCCAAGTCCCGTGGCCCGAAACCTGCGGGAAGCAGGGCCTAAGTTCAAGAGTACGCAACTTTGTTAAATTGACACATGATTTCAATGACTTGTAGCGTCAAAGATATTGTCAGATCCACAGGCCCCAAATGGTTTGAATTGAATTGACAATTGCTTTGAGCAGAGTTCTCATTCAGCATCAAGATTTACCATTTTTACACACATACTGTACTTGTAGTACGCACGTCATTCTCTCTCTCTCTCTATCTTATATACATACACATACACGTACATACTAAGCTATGAATTACATCAATATACATATATATATATAGATATTATATATATATATTATATATATATATATTATATATATATTATATTATATATAATGTGTGTCATCACTAACAACACCATCATTATCTGTTCTCATCATGGTCCCCCTTTACGTCTTCCCTGGACTTCCTTAACAGGACACCGAGGGCCGGATTGGAGCGGAGTCTACTGTGAGGCAACTGCCATGGCCCTTGGATGAATGAGATATTCATGGGATAGTCATGGAATATATAGTACTGGTGCTTGTAATGGATTAATGGGATGTTTATGGAATATGAATGGGATAGTTTTCTGGGATATTTATATATACTTATGGGATAGATATTCATGGGCTAGAATGGGGTATAGTAGGTTTTAACTAGCCAATTAACCAGCTATTGGATAACCAACATTACAGTCAGCAGAGGATCAGCTGAAACTTCTATAGTTGATCGATCGTTGACCCAGTGCACATCCATGTATGGCCTTAATTCAGCATGGTAATTGTCCTATTTGGGAGGTATGACGTCCCATGACTCCGAGAGAAATCACTTCTATCCCATACCAAATACGTCATACGTAGCGGAAATCATCCGATTCGTTATGGCCTTAGTTTCAGTTTTGAGAGGTTCTGTCTTCCGTCAGCTGGGGCCAGATGTATGAAATGGAAATGGAGTCTGTATCTATACTACGGAGCATATGGGATATATTTACCGGTCCATCTCTTAGATCTCTTAGGTTTGTCTGAAAATATGGTACCCTCCCATTCCATCCAATGGTCACTGATCATGTTCCCTAAAGCTGCCATAAACTCGGGAAGACTAAGCATTTTCAGACCACACCCAAATCAATTTTTTGTTGGTAACACATGGACATGTTTGTTGGTGAAACGCTTCACCGTGAATGTCAGGTTTCTTCGTGAAATCCCCATGCCATGGCTGCCAGGGTAGCAGCATCATTGCGCACGAGCGCTTAGCCATTGTGGACCCTGACAGTGGCGATCAGCCCTTGTTCAACGAGGCCCTAGAAGTTGGGATGGAACCACGTGGGATGTTGGATTTTCCGCGAGACTTGTCAGCTCAAATCCCGTACAAATGCTTCGCATGCATCAAATTTTGGGCCTGGTTTCTCTAGTATTTCACTTCAGTATTTAAGTGTTTCAATGGTGTTTCAGTGTTTCACTATGTTTCACTAGTGTTTTACCATGTTTCATTTCTGTGTTTCTTTTCATTTCCACAAGGCCAAGGATATCGTGCTGGGTGTCAATGGAGAAATCTACAACTACACCACTCTGCAGGATTCCTTGGAGGCGCGCCTAGGCTCTGCATCCCGCAAGTAGTGACTAGAACCTATAGTGATTTAACATAATGGAAATCACCATTTATTATAGCTAAATCATTATCAATCATCTAGAAGTGGGCCATTTCCCATGGCTGTGTAAAATATCGTAAAATAAGAGGGTATATATAATATAAACATATATATAATATATATATATATATATTACATTATATTATATTATATTATGTTGTGTTATATTATATTATGCTATTTTATATTTTATTATATTATATTATATTGTATTGTATTTTTTTATATTATATTATATTTATATTTATTCTATTATATATATATGTGTATATATTTATTATATATACGGTATATTATATATACGGTATATATACACAAGACTATAATGTGGTAATCCCGGTAATCCCACTAGTAATGCGATATTTCGTAGGGTTTCAATGAATAGTTATGGGATATGTTTGGCTGAAGCATCCCCGATTGGGTTTATTGGCTATACCCTTATGAATCTTATGACTGACCTGTAAAATGACCTCCAGTAATGGTTGGTTTGTGGGATGGTTTATTTTATTAGGTTTACCACTAGTTTACCCGTATATTGATGGGGATGTTGCATTTACAACTAATGTGATTAAGATTGTTATTACCCATGCACTTACTAGCTGGGGTGCAAATCCATGTAGGAAAGCGTTTCTGATGACGAATCCGTTACTTGTTGGACATCAAGGTCCCTTTAAGTGCCAAGAATTAGGTCTGGAGCGCGACAGGGATGACTTTCCCTGAAGTCAAGCTGACCTTCTTTGTGGTTGATAGTGGGTCATGTATGTTTTATATGGCTTGAATAATCTTGAAAACAACCAAGTTACATCAAGTTATCATCTCATTATATCTCTATCTATATATATACATATATATAATAGAAGTGTGTGTGTGTGCGTCGTCCATTCTAAGGGCACCGGGATTTCGACGCGTCCCCGAGGGCATGGCTTTTGTTGCCATGTATTGTAGGGCGTTCAGTCCAGACTTCACCATGCAGTGGAAGCAGAGAACTCCAGGGACTCCAGGGGGTACCAAACTGAAATGGCCAGGAGAAAGTTCCTGGCAAACACAAGTTCCTCACAAAGAGTGATTGCGAGGCCCAGCTGGCCCAGCTACAAGCTGCAACTTCGTAGTGTTTCCAGTATTTTCCAGTTAGGTGGTTTGTAACCCCCATGATCCATGAACTATAGCTACAACATGCCTCTATTACACTCTGGTATACTGTTACAGTTTGCTATGGAAAATCACCAGCCATTTAAAAGGCAAATCAACGAACAAGCCATGGCCATGGCTTCCAGTTCGGGAACTGTAACCAATTACAGTTCGCCCCACGGGGCTCCACCGTTGCGAAGGTTCTCCTTCACCTTTATGCGGAGGCGATCCGTGCATTTTGGGGGATCAATCTCATAGGGGGAAAAGATGGGAAAAGGATTTGTAATCCTCTCTCCCTATTACTAAAGCAGGGAAAAAACCCTTCCCAAATGGCAAACACGGTGGTCTATTTTTATTAGGGGGTATTTTGTATTAGGGCACCTCTAATATTCCAATGAACACCTTAATAATAAAAGATAAAAAACTTGATTTCAATTTTGATTAAATCCCTGATTAAAATCTATATAAAATATTGCCAAAAACTGGATTTCGAAGCTTTCCCGGAATATTCCAATGAAAAGCTTAATAATAAACATAAACACATAAAACTTGGGATATGGGACCCTAAAAAAAAAACAACTCCAGGTGTCAATCTATTTTGTCAATAGGGGGTTGAACCCTTTGTTTCACCATCTGATTCTCCTATTGATTCTCAATTACCACAATTAACAATCCAATTGTGCCCAACCAAACAAAAAACGGAAGTGCCCAACCAATGCTATTTTTTTTATTTGGGGGAGTTTAGTAACAGGAAGAAGGGGATATATATATACACACTATTATAGTATACGGTATGACTTATACAGGAAGAAACCCCCGAATGTTTACAGTTCATGATTTATAAGTTATAAGGTGTTTTTACTAGGCTACCGATTGGATTCATAGTTGATATACATAAATAGTATATATATATACACACTTTGATGGTAGCAGAAAACAACAATCCAAAACATAACAGGGAGCTCATTTGTCTTTGTTTATCACTTTCTGTGACGCTATATCGGTGTATATATAAATAATTAGAATTAGAACTAAATAGATATAGCTATCTCCATTGGTTATGTAATTATACGCCATTGCATATGTTTAATCTAAAAACCAATTACACCTTTTTTTTCCCTTATAGGGTATACCCAAATAAAATTCACGAAACCACACATTATTCAACAGCAAACCAACAAAAAAATGATCGGTTGAAAGGTATCTCTCAGAAAATTCCAAACCTCCAGAGTGGACAGCACCGAAAGATGATGTCCCACAGGATGGCATCGATTTCTTGAGCAAGAACGAGGCGGCCAGATCTGCCGCACCAGTGTTTTTTTGCCGAAATTGAGGGCAAGGAGACGTTTTCAAACCGGGAGACATACTAACACCCAAAACAGTAGAAACACAACTTGTATCAATTTATCACTATTGATTTCTCTATGATTTTAATGTTCTATTCTTTTCCGGTGGCTATACCCAATTCATTGGCCATGTTTTGTTTTTTTTTTCGAACGATTCATGAGTCTAAAACCACGGGATGAAAGTGGGTTCCCTCCCATATGTTCATAGAAACCCAGACATTGTTTCAATTGTTTCTTGAAATCCCATTGTGCTGCCATACACTGGGTGGTTTCCCTGCTATATCACCAAGCTTTGATGGATGGATCTCTAAAATCTGGGGATCTCCAATGGTTAGTTTAAGTCTATAGCCAATTAAAGAGCATCCAACATGTTATTTTGGCTATTTACTCTGGTAATCTTGCCAATCAAAAAGCCATGGTAAAATCCCCTATCTTTAGGAAAATCATCCCATCATATCCTATCATATCCTATGGACAGATGGTCATTTTATTGCCAGGCAATGTGTGGAATGTCGGGTATGCGCTCCGTCCAGGTGTGCGGAATGTATGCCTTTGCCATTTGGGACAAGAAGAACAACACGTGCCCGCTGAGTGAAGCTGAGTGAATGTTTCGGTTGCCAAAAAGGGAGGAATGTGACGTTCCTGAGAAGAGATGTTTTCTGGGATCTTTATGGCTGTGACAAAAAAATGATTCATTGGCAAACAGCGCATTTAAATCATCTCCTGTTCCACATATCAGAAGGTCCGAAAAGACCTTGAGGGGTCGACAGAGGATTTTGATTGCCTTTTTTATGAGGATGCTGGGATGACTGTTCCTTACTTTCCATGTTTTGTTTGTTTTTTGTCCTTATTTTGTGATAACCAAACTAGTGAGGAGCACACGGTGTTTCCACGTTTTTTTAAAAACGGGCTCCGGCTTGGGAGGTACGTCGTGGCACGTGATCCAGTTGGAATCATTCCTTTGTACATTGGATGGCGGGGGTGCACGACACGACCTTCTAACGGGATTGATCAACCAATGGTGCGCGCAGATATGCGCAGATGGTTGGGTTGGACTTCTTTGAGCACCATATGAACCTGAGTATATCATAGTATATCATTGTTTGGATGTGTGTCCCTCTTGGCAAGTGGTTTGCAGTCACGCTGATACCTTGTTCTATAGATATTACATGTACATGTCGTACAATATAGATACATTTATGGTATTATGTTATACTAGTAGTGTATTATATTATACAGCATACGATATTTTTGTAATATATAGTATAAATTATTGTATTATCATATTGTTTTAAGTGATGTTGTATTATTATATTGTATATTATATCATATTCTACTTTATTATGTTATACAGTTATACCATATATCATAGTATTTTGTGGCATAGTGTATTATTATATTATGATAAGTTATGTTCTATTATGATATATGAACATTATAGATATGGTATAGATACTCAGATATCCGCAACTATGGTTCTTATCCATGTTTCTGAATGGGATGCACATAAAAACTTGCGGCTGAAGTTAGTAATTCCAGAAAACATTTGTTTGAGAATTTGTTGGTCGGGAGTTATACTATGGATTCTCATATCATCTACGTCTATGGGAATGCATGTTCACCAACACTCACCAACCGTGATATTGTTTATAGAATTATATCTCTGATCATCACCCTTTATCGGATCGTTTCCTCCAGGGGATCGGATGGTTCCGTCCAAGTGGCCAGTGAGCTCAAGGCACTCCACAAGGCGCCATGGATTCCATGGATTGGAAACCATGGATCGACGTGACGTGTTTTTCCACATCTGGGGTCTTTGTTTAAGCAACTTGAAGGGACGATTTAAACAGAATCAGGTTTGCCATGTTTGAATCCCATCCATTAGGTCGCCATTCAGGACCCCACCTGGTGAACCATGAGGGCAGAGAAATTTGGGAAAAAACCTGTGAACACAACGCTTTCCTATAGTTTTCCATGGATTTTTCTTGAATTCAATGGAGATGGGAATTCTTAAATGGAGGATTCACATCCAATTCCATCCAACTCCAAGTCCTTTCAACATGGTAAAGCTGGATTTTTCATTGCTGCCTGGTGCGTTGTCCCTTGATTTTTTCGAGCCCTGGTCATGGCGTGGCACTGCCGGCCTTGGTTCAAGGTGCGATTTTTTCTGCAACAGCCACCTTTTTGTCAAAAAAAACATGCCTCTTTTGTCACCATCCTCCGCAGCAAAATCCCACGTCACCAAATAACTTGGGTTTCTACCCGAAGTCAGACGCAGTCTTGGTGTTGTTTTGGCCACGCAGCGTTGAAAGTAGTTGCGAGCTCGACGGCCCGCATATATGGCATGGTCTCTTAGCCAGCTCCTCAGGTTTTCTTGTCAACCCTGGCTGAGGTGATTAATCCGCCCATCATTGGAGGATCATTCATGAGACAATTTTGGGAGAACCAACATGAAACATAATAGGATATAATAGGTAATTCAGGTAATATATATATATACATCGACTATATACACATATACACTATATATATATACATCGACTCTATATACATATACAATATATATATATATACATCGACTATATATACATTTACACTATATACATATATACATATATACATATATACATATATATACATATATATATACACTATATATATACATGTACACTAAATAATATATATATATATACACTATGATATATACACACACTATATATATACATATACACTATATATATTTACACACTATATATATTTATATATATATACACTACACATCTTTATATGTATGTACACTATATATAATATACTATATATATGATATACTATATATACACATTATACACACATATATATATATATATGTATACTTGTATATATGTAGACATATTTGGATAGATTATACAATTGTGAAAACGGAACTGGGTTTGCCTACAAATAGGCTACCCAGAATCCAGTGTGTTTGTCATGACCATTTTGGGCTATTACTGGTACCACCTTTCTGGATATATCATTCCATAGTATAAGATTGATGTTTAAATCCCAATTGGTCATTGTTAAATCATAGTAATTCATATTAATTCCATATATGTTTAGTGGTCCACATTTTTTCATGGTGAAATTCCCCTGATTTTTTTCATTTATCCCGTGGCTCAGGTCATTTGTCAGATGGGCAACAGCAGCTGCCAGTCATGCCAGTCATGCGGAGTTGACAGAGCCTCAGTGGTCCCCGGGGCTCGATCCACTGCAACCTGCTGGGAAAACGGATGGAAACTGCGATTGACATTGACATTACTTAAAATTTCTTGCAAAATAAGGAATAAGCTTGGAAGAATGGTTAGACATATTAGTGTTTTTTCTTGTTCATTGCAACTTGAAATCGGCTGGGTACCCTCTGGTAAACCAACATTGCTATTGAACATGGCCATATTTATAGATATTTATAGTAGTTCGTTGATTTATCTATGACCTTTTAAGAGTATTTAAAAGCGGTGATTTTCCACAGTGATGTGTTCGAGATTACCAGAGGGTCTGGGCCAGGCAGACTGCGACAAAAGCGGCTCCACAGCGCCCAGTGCGCCCAAAAGGGGACACGCCCATGGCCGGTTGGATGATGGGATGTCACCACGCTGGTGGTTGGTGCTAGATGATAATGAATAACATTAATAATGATAATAATTATAATATCAAACAATAGTGATCATTATTAATGGATAAGAGTAAACATTTGGATAATGTTTTAACATCCATGAAGTAAACACTTGGATAATGTTATAACATCCATGATCATGGATAAGAGTAACTACTTAATATGTGGGATTCACCCTATGCCACAAGTCATCAAAAGTCATCCACCTTGATGGACCGATGGAGCCTGACCTCGCTACAGGATGAAGGTGTTGATCCTGGCAATGCCATAAAGATGACGAGTGATTTGCGGATGGGCTCAGGGTTTCTACATTTTTTCGAGTCAAGGTCTAGCATGTGCCCTATAGGCCAAGAATAGTTATAGGCCATTCTAGGCCTATAGCAGCTCAATTTCTATAGGACATTGATGTTCCAATGTAAATGGGTGGTCTATGGGAAGAGAAGTGAATCCTAGTTCACTCACCAAAACTAGTACATACATACTGTAGAGTATCCCAAAAATGCAGACACACAATCGTACAATTATAGTATATTATAGTAACCCCCCAAAAACATACTGTATATAATATATATATATATTAATACAATGACTAGCAGTTAACCTTCCGAATCAATCTTACTGAGATAAGTAAATAATTAATCTAACTAAGATCCAAACAATAATTCATCTTACTAATCTGACTCAGATCTTACTAAGATCTAAACATACTTGTAATATAGATTAACTGATTAACATGTTCAAACCTTTTCGGAGCTCAAGCCTCCAGTCATTGCTGAAGCCTCCAGGTAAACCGCCTGTTGACAGCCAGCAGGCGCTCAGCTGGCTGCAGATGGGTTCACACACGTTAATGTATAAAATATATGTGCATATATAATACATATAATATATATATATATAATATGTTTTTTCTATAATATAATATAATATAATATAATATTATGTAATGTAATATTATATATATATATGTGATATTATATATATGACGTATAATATATGATTATATATATATATGATATATGATGTATAATATAATATATAATATATATAATATATAATACACATATAATATAATATATAATACACATATAATATAATGTATATAATATATAATATATATATAATATTATATATAATATATAATATAGTATGTATTATATATAACATATGTAATATATAATATAATATATAATATACCATATAGATAATATATATGATATATATATATATATTATAATATATAATATATATAATATATATAACATATATATAATATATATAATATATATATACAATATAATATATATAATTGATATAATTGATATATAATATATAATATATTATATAATATATTATTTATAATATATCAATTATATATATATATATTATATTATATATAATATATATAATAATTTATATATATACACTATATATATACACTATATATAATATGTATAATCTATATATATTATAGAATTTATATTTATATATATATAATAAGAATGATTATAATAATGCTAATAACAATAATAATAGTAACATCAACAACAATAATAATAATATTTATGTGTGTATATGTAAATATTATACATACACAAGTATAATTATCATCGTGATCATATCGAACATCATGATTTGTTTGATTCTCAAGTCTTGTATTTGTTATGTCCTTGTTTTTCAATGTGTGGATTGAATAGAAATTGATACAGTAGAAGCATGTAGAAGCGATATTCTGTCGAGGCACGTGGGATCCACATTGCCCCATGTTTGTAGACTGTTTTGGCTCCTGATTGTCTATGTTTATCGCATCACCTTTGCTATCCTTTGCCGGCAGTAACACAAAAGTTCTGCCCCAAAATGTTGGTACTGTTACCATTTGTTACCATTTTTTTTTGCATAATTACTACTCTTATCGAACAAAAAAAACATAGTTCTTTTACTTATCTCCACTCTTGTTCATAGTTTTTTACATAAAGAAAACAAACTGTGAATAGGAATAGGATTGCCCACTAGTTTCGGTAGGATTCAAAATTATCAATATGTTTCTCCACTAGGACTGTGGATAGTTGCGAAATGTTTCATGATTACCTCGCATGGTTTCCAGCTGGTGCAGGATTACCTTCTGGCATTTTTTTCACATAGCGAACTGGAAAATCAGATGTTTTTCAGTAAATCATCTAAAAATCATCTATACATGGGCCATTTTCAATCGCTATGTTAGTCATTACCAGAGGGTTTACCCTCTGGTAAACTAACATAGCTATTGAAAATGGCCATTTATAGTGAGTTTTCCCATTAAAAATGGTGATTTCCCAATATTTTCCTTAGCTATGTTAGTCATTACCAGAGGGTTAAAGTTGGAACAAGAACCAGTCACGATCCAAGCAGCCAGGTCCTGTCTACACCACCTCCCTGCACTAGCAGCTGGGTGGTGGCCCTAGGGATCCTGCCACTCACCATACAACGACCTCACCCTGCAAGGGATGATAGTGATGGTTAGTAAGGGGAATCATGATCAGCTTTATTTCAGGTGAAATATTGAAATAATGTAGCCAGATTTATGACAGTTATCAAGGTTCAATCGATTGGTTCAAGGGAAGATCCAAGGGGAAACCAATGAAAACTAAAGGTTTTTCCCATGAAATCTAGGGCTTTCCGCTTAATTTTTCCTTAAGCTCATCCATATTTATGACATGTGGCTTTGTCTAAAAATCAGGTACCGGTTGAGGCTTTGAGTTTCCCATGAACATGGCCATCTACTAGGGTTTCAGTGGTGGCCAGGGAAGATGGACATTTCAGGACTTGTCCATGTAAATGTCCACAAAAAAAAACAGTTCACAAAGTTAAATGTACATTAATCCTTCATTTCAGGATTTTTCTCCATGTAAATTGTACGCATCAAACCGAGTAGGTCTGTAACTTTTTGAGTCACTGGTCTCGATCCGCAGCGCACAGGATTTTACATCTTTCAGCCATACGACGCCTGTCTTGCAGACGGTGGTGTGAAGCTCGGAAGTCTGCGAAGCCGAAGCAGCGAATTGGAAAAGAAGCCTCTGTTTTTTTGTTTAATCAGCTCCATGGTTTGTTTGAAGATCACACATACATATGTATATATATATATATATTATAGTATAATTATTTATATACATATATATATACTGCATATGTATATATATATATATTATATATATATTATAGATCACCCATTTATATCGTTCGATCATTTTCCCATTTTAATACCAATTTATATGGTATGTCCCAGCCATGAGCTGACCCCAGAGGGTCGAATCAGATATAACAATCAGATGTGCATCCCACATAGTAAGTGGTTTATATAATCCGTACATAACCCCCATAATCCACCATAATCCCATATATGAAGTGGGGATATGCCATTTTTGTGGGGGATCGTGGGTTTTTGTTGACCTAGAAATACTAAGTGTGATGCACCCCCAGGGGACCTGAACATCAATCCATTTTTTCCTGGATGCCCCACTGACTTGACCCAGAACCAATTGGACAATCCAAAGTTAATCCAATTTGTTGGATACGATTACGATCATTATCTGGAAGTACTCGTAGGAGCCAGAAATATAGAACATCCATGAACATCCTAATTGCTTTCAGCATGATACACAAATGTGGAATCTTCCAGACATGTTTGAGTACTCGGAGATTAGTTTCACGAGGATTTTGTTTTTCTAGCTCTCTAGAGAGTTTGGTGGGCTGGGAAGCCATGCAGTGACTTCTTCTGCCCCTGCAAGGCAGGCATTGATGGCCAGATGATATCTTACCTCCCAACAGTTGTCTGATGTTCTAGACAGCAAGGACGCGCACACTTGGACATATTTGACATAGACATACATGTCTGTAACGTGCAAAAGTTATAGAGTTTATTCTATGTTTTGAACATTAACTGATAATTGTTCTATAGATCATCTTATATATAATATATATATATATATTAGATATTTATTTTTACACAAGACTTTTTCTTCGTAGATTATAAATGTTGGACATACTAATTGGATTCCTTGGACATATCCATGAGATTTCACCGGTGTAGCAACGTGTAGCAACCGAGGCATATCAGCTGATATCTCCAGCCTTCAGAAGGTGTGGAGGTACCAAGGTGCGACGTTGTCGTTTCGAGTTGTTTGGACTAAGCCCTGCATGAAGTTTAGACTATGAAATTGGCATGTCTTAAAGTTATTAAAACTGGATTAAGATGGGGTATCCCAAAATTGCAATTCTAATAGGCTTTGCAGGTACCATTTTTTTCGATCAAAACGATTCTGTGCATGATCCAACTTGACCGCGGATACCCTCCAACGAACAGAGACGTGGAACACCATGTGTAGATAATTTTCCTCGGAAACCGTGGGTTTTGCAAATCTATAGGGGTACCTTTTCCTTCTCGAAAAGTTGTGCCAGGTGGAGCTATTGAAAAGCTTCTTGCGGGCCGTTGCCTCCACCTACCAAGCCAATGCCTTCCACAACTTTGCGCATGTCGGGACGCAAAAATGCAGGGCTTTTGGCCGTTTTGGCCATGGCTTTTGGCGATTCTTCGGTTTCAAGGGATCTGAAAATGGGGTATCCCAACACAAGAAAACCAGGGTTGAGAAAATCATATTCCACTCAAAGTGCTATAAGTTGGTGTATTACCGAGTTTGAGAGACATTCCAATGTGGGTGTAAACCGTACAGTTTGAAAAAAGACAACACGTCATGTTTTCTGGGACTGTGTCAACCAGTCAAAATTGGTAGTTCGTGAAGCACGGGAACGGAGGGAGCAGACAAGTTACTTGGGCAGTGCGAAGTTAAATATCATCAAATATCAATTGCTGGAGTATTGAAAATAAGGGTTAATAACCATCTATGATTGTTATTTACAAGGTTTATACATATAGTGATAGCAATGTGATAGTCATAAATGCTAAACAAACAACCTATCCACGTAGTACAGAGGGACTGCAAACAATGAAGCCTTCAGGCCGTGGATGTCCTCCAAGCCTTGTGCTGGCAGAGTCTGGTTTCCTCAGTGGGAATGCAGCTGTTGAACGTTGATGAAAATCAAAAAAGAAGATGCAGAACAGTTTCAAGTTACATATCAATTTACCATATGATTCTAGAGAATTACTTTGATAATTGTGTATGTTTCACTTTCTGCATCTTTTTGGGGATTGCTGTACTTGTAAGTCATTGTTGCTATTCATCACTTTATGGGATCGTCATGGGATGTCACAGGCACTGTTTGAACAGGGTCCATTGAATCATTGACTCCATGCACAGAGTTCCCTTCCAAAGGTGTCATCAACTTTCGTCAAGGGCATTGCCCTCCAGGGGCATTGCCCAACCTGCCCGCGGCCCAACCCGGCCCCGCGCATCCGCACCAATTGGATTCTTCGAGGCGATCAAATCAACTGCGACCAGCTGCGGAATCCAACGCAGCACTTGGCTTTGGCCATTGCTGCAATATCTGCCGCTTGGCTCAGCGACGATCTGCCGCTTGACGTTGTATTGATATGTACAGTTATATATATATATATATGTGCGAAGTGTTTCTCAATGGCAGCTAAGTGCCTGAAAGATCTGAAAGTGATTTACGTTATGGAAGTGCTCTAAATATGTATTATTATTTATCAATTATGACTTATTAGAATTCATGATTAATGTAGCCATCGAAATATTCTTCGCCCCATCACCACAGATGGCTCCTGGTGGTTCCCGGCCGCCAGGTGGATCTGGGTCATCCTGGCTTAGACAATGCCTTTCTGATAGATACGGGCGATCCTATTGCTCAATGCCTGACACTCAGATGACGGATTTTCACCATCAATCATGGGAATTTAAGCATCCAAAAATGTGAGTTAACCATCAAGAAGGGGGAGTTCACCAAAAAAATGTGATTTAAGAATCAAACAAATAGGATTTTGATCATCAAAAACGGGGATTTCAGGTTGAAAACAATGGAGTTTCTACTCAGATGGCTGCTCCGAACATGGGGCAAATGACCCAATACAAATTCTCGGTTCGAACCATTCTAACCGCAAGACTGTCATTGAGTCGACTCGGATGTCGTCAAAATACGATGGTTTCAGGGCAAAAAGCTGGCCAGTGAAATCTGTGGTACTCACCTCTGAGGCTACAATGACTTCGCTCCCCTGGAGCAACACCGGCACATCTTCGCTGTTGGCCTGGGGTCTGCATCCCCATGTGGTTTCCCAATCTTTGTACGCGCCTGATGTGCCTGATGTGACGTAGAACCTGTAGGCTCCAGGGGTCCCCTTAGTCCCCTTTTCTGTTTTTTTTTTGCTGCATTTACTCCGTGGATATGGTCCAACTGATGGGTGTATTATTTCTTTTTTATCTTCTGGGCTACCAAGATCATCCAAGAATCCAATGGTTGACCCTGCCACATTGGTTTCAGCAACAACCAACCAACCATTGGTGTTTGGAAGGTCCTGGAATGGTAAATCCCAATAGTAAACTTTGTAAACCTTATAATTGGGGATGACCCGTTTTGTTTATTGTTTACCACGTTTTATCATTAATGTGGTAAACCCTATGCCATAAAATATCCCCAACATCACTTTTATTATGGCTGGTTTGTCAACCATGCCCAAATGGTTTGTTTATGGGATTGGATTGCCCGCATTATCGGATTGTTATATATTGTAGTTATATATAGCCCTTGACAGTTATAACTGGCTTATAACCTCACTTGAGTGGTATACAAATTATATGACCTTAGTTGCATGAGTTACAATCCCCTTTGTAACTGTCGAGGGCCGCAACTGTGGGGATTGTATACTCTTGGGTGTGCTCCGTGAAAAACAATGTTTTTCACCCAGCTTTGGGCCAAACCGCCAGGAATTTGCATTGCAGCAAGCTTTTCGAGCTGCTGAAGAAGGCCTTGGAACTTGGAAGGGGTGAAAAATGCTGGTTTCGCAGCAAAGGCCCTAACTAGCTTATTATCTCATTTAAGTGGTTATAACCTTAGCTACAGAAGTTAGTTCATTCTTTTTCAATCACCGTCAAGGCCTTTCAAGGGTCATAAGTTCATAACTGTAGGTTTCCGGACTGATAGTCTTCAGTGAGAATGGATCAAACATGTGATGAAAACCTCTTAAACAACATTCTATATAATAAGTACTATCTATTTGCGTCTAAACACGTCCAAAAACCTTAAGGTTACCAGGGTTTCGATCGGCGCCGCCACGTTTCGAGGATTCGCTGAATGTGATGAGTCACCTGGCAGTTGAGGCCCACGGGCCTCAGATTTGGAATGACGACTTATCCAGCTCTATCTGAAATTCATATATGTCGCAGAGTAAACATATTATGATCATATTATGTATATACAATGTATATATACCAGTTTGTGAATGATTTGGCATTCTTTCGAGAAATTGACCCGCAGTTGGAATCTACAGGCTTCCAAAGTCCAAAACCATCACTTAACTTAGAGGTGAAGTTGTTTGAAATGATGTGGAGTTTTGTTCAACTTGTTGCAGTTCGCCAGACGAAAAACACAAAACACAATTACGATATCCAACAGCGACATGTTCAGCAGGAAACTTCCATACGTATACTGTACTGGTAGAATGCGGTTTCCCTGTGTGTTGTCCCCTTTTTTCTACACCTGAAAACGTTTTCAACACCGGTCGAGGACTTCCGCGAAGCCCGAAGCCTCATCATCGACGTCATCCTGCACACAGACAGATACCGCTTGGTCCACGGTTACCGCGTGGCGGTTGGAAGGCACCATATCTCTCCATATCCTCAGTATTCCCCAGGTATAATGGTATTAATTAATTGTTACTATTTTCTCAACCATGACATATTAGTTCCTGTTCAAGGATTTTAAACAACACAAATGGTGTCTTTTTTGGGATATAATTAATGGGATCTATCATAGATATATCATTGATATCAGGATATGTTTTACCTCTAGCAAAAATGGAAAACCGGTCCGGATTTCCATCGCCCAAGGTCACACGGAGGTCTTGAACGATGTCCGAGGAATTGCTCGGCAAGGCGGAGCGCTTGGGAGCTGGAAGTTTCCCCAGGGCGACATAAATTATGTAATAAGACACATGTCGTATTTTCCTTAAACATCCTTAAAGCCCATTCGAGCCACTTGTGAATCTGTTTGAGGCTAGGAAATATGATTTGGGGATATTTGGAGTTCCGAAATGATAGTGAGATATAAGTCATCCACTCAGCCTAGGATCAAATTTCTTGGCAGATTCAGTTTCGTGTGTTTTTGAGCCCCGTTTGCAAAACTCGACTTGCTCCAACTTTGAGGAAAATACCTTTTGGCAAACAAACTTAGCAACGGAATGCAACGGAAATGTCCCATAGTTTCTACATTGTTTCTACAGTAGATAATTTTCCCTCATTTTCCTTTGTTTTGCTTAAACGTATTTATAGAATTTTATAGAATTATACATTATGTTCCATGCCTTGCCATAAAATGTTCCAATAAAAAAGATTAGGGTTTTGACTATGGGGAGTATTTTTCTCTTGGCCAGGCTATGCACCAAAGAGTGCAGATCATTCTTCTCCGGAAGGTGCCTCCACATGTCTCCACACGTCGCACGCCACATCCCACGGTTTAAAGTTCATAAATTGGGGTACCGGGTAGCCACCATTTTTGAGGACAAGCTGATGTCAACCTCAAGGGTCCTTAGGAATCCTTGAGCCTAGCATTACTTGATGGCTTGACAAATGTCTTGAAGATCTGGCTGCGCAGGTGTCGAGATCCTGCAGGCCAGATCCTGCATAGAATTCTGAGATACCCAGACTCTCAGAATCTCTCAGAATCTCTCAGATATGCATCAGAATTTCATAGAATAAGAATTTTGCCCCTTTGGCGTGTCGGTACTTGCCGCATCTTGCCGCCAATTTCTTCCAGTTCTTATTCCAATAGAGGGTCGATATTCGATGAATTTCTGATACGGAACCTGGTGGGGTGCACGGGCAGCAGCACCTAGCTATTCGGCTTCGCAGACAAACAAGCAGCCACCAAATCCCATGGTTTATGGTCATTTCATAAACATAAACCATGGTACTAAATATTATAATATGACCATGGTTTATGGTATAATATGGTAACCACCAAACATAATTTTCATATGTGTTTATTCATGTTCTCCATATTTCTGAATTACAATTTCAACTTTCGGATATCCAGCATGTTGAGACAACCCCGCATCATCCAAACATGCACGAGCTTATGCAGGTTCTTGATGCCCCGCCAGCTGAACAGTAGCCAAAATCGTGGTGCATTGTTTGATTTAGATTGATGATGATTCATAGTCACAGTCATCGAGATTATTGGCATTTAAGGCTACCACCAGGTTTACGGACGCTGTCACCCATGATCAATCACTGCTAGTCCAAGTCCAAAACAGCCCGGATCTGCAATTTACACTTACAAGTTGATATGTACCCCATGTTTCTTTATACGTTTGTAATATGTGTCTGGGTCAACTGAGGGTCAATGTGTATAAATATATATACAGTATGTCTGCCAATGTGTGCTCTGCCGCGCAATTTTTCTCCCGGCTCGCACCTCGTCACAACAGAGCCGTGTACGCGTACGCCATACGGCGTCGCTCAGGCCAGATGCTTTGCATGGCTTCTTTAGAGGGCTTGCTGCCTGGAGGCATATGCAGTGGCATATCCATAAATTTTCGCAACTCCGTATGGAGGTGCGCCGTATCGGGCGGCTTCGCCGCACCAACAGATTCAAAAGTGCGTTTCCAACTCTTGCCGGCAAAGTAGCTGGGACACTGCATGAGTTCAAAAAGCCAGGCTAACGGGTCTATCAAACCCTCACAGGAACCTGCCCTCAGTTCCTGGTACTTCCTCTTCAAATGTGTTTTCAATGGGTGGAAACCTGCTATATCTAACGGTTGGATTTTGTCTGTACATCCGGCTGGTATGTACAGGAGCTGGACACCATTGCGCCGAGCGCACACCATGGTTTCCTTTGCGAGATGTGAGGACGCAACATCCAGCAACAAGATAGGTTGAAATGGATAAGGTTTTAAGACTTTGCCTAGATCGCGCACAATCTTGGTGATGTTCTTGCAGGATGTCCAAGCACTTTTCTGACGTACTATGTGCAGCGCCGTTTGTGGCAAGCGCCGCTGGCCCCTCAGCAACTTCTGTGTCAGCTTGGTCTCAGTCCCAAAAAGGTAGTGCGGCAACTTGCCTTGAATATGCGGCGCATCACAAATGATGCTCACATAGGTCAAAGCCCCTCGCACGTCTTGTTTCCGGACAGGCATGCGAAGACTGGCATGTCGTGGCAAAGCAACGCAGCCGGGCAATTGCAGCATGGTGTAGGGAATGCTAGTTTCGTCTAAATTCAAAAACAGCGGAGTCTTGTCCACAAACTTCGTGTTCACGTAGTAGGAGAGTAACTGCCAAAAGGTTCTCACCTGACAGGGCGAAGCCGAGCAGGGAGGCTAGGAAAACATGACCACATGTGGGAGGAGGTCCGAATTGCAATGAGCTTGCCCGGCCCCATTTTTGGAGCCGGAAAACGGTCGCAAAAACACGACCGTGCTTGGCGCCTTAGCCTGCACCGTGACTGGGTCCCTGTGCACTTGTGGACGTAGGACTCGGCGCCGCAGGTTCCACTTGGCTCGGAAGCGCTGCACCCATTGATTCACATGCCGGCGAGGCGGCAAACCCTCCAGGAGGCTGCCAAACCGCGCTTTCTCCCACGTGGCATAGACATCCAGCGATAGCGGTGCTACACCGACGTGGTTGCAAGCCAGAACCCAGTTGAAAGTGTTAGCCTCTGCCAGAAAAGCGGCTGCATGCCGCACTGGCCGTGCCCACGGAGTCGCGGAAGGTGAAAAAATGTGCTGCAAGTCTAAGTCTGTGGTGCTCAAAAACAAATCTTCCACCACAACCCGTGTTGTCCCTGAGGTCGGCTTGACTGCTGGCCACAGGGCAGCGAAGCGAAGCGCTAGCTCCATATTGCAGTCCGACAACACATAGACGGCAACGATCGCTTTGCAAGCAAGAGGGCTAAAACCTCCAGAGGCTGCTTCCTTCTTTGCTCGGTATCTGGCATGCTTGGCTTGCACTCCGGCCGCTCTGTTTCTGGCAAGGTCTGCTTGCAAAGTTGCAATGGTTTCTGCTAAAGCCACTGGAGTCGCCGCAGGTGCGTGAGCCATGGGGCAAGGCTGCGGCCACCTGGGTGCTGTCTTGGATGTCTTTGCATGGAAGCCTATACCCTTCTGTTGCTGGGCTGTGACTCTGTGGCATATGAATGCGAAAAATTGGTGCTGTTACAGCCATGTCCTGTGACTCATGTGGCGCTGGATCCACACCGAAGGCCCGACAGAGCTGCTGCATGCAATCTGTGAGTGATGGCTGAGCGGCGGCTGCAACAGATTCTCCATGCTGACCTAAACACAACCTCCTGGACTGCAACTCCTAGAAGGAACCCTTGCAACTCTGAGAAACAATGCACGTGCAGCATGCACCCACATGGCAGAAGCACATTGAGGGTTCAAGCAGCTGTAGACCCAAATCTCCCCCGCAGGCGGTTTCACAAACCTAACCCAAGCCATGCCTTTCTCTACCCCATGCAGGCTGTTACTCCAAATGATAACACGGGCCGGTAAGCTGCACCAAATGCTGATTCTCGCGAATCCATGGTTCGTCATCATCCCAGTCAGTTGATTCATCTATGGTGATCACAATGGGGACCCTGAATAAATAAACCTGATATGAGAATATGTTCGTCTGTGACTGGCCTAAGCGATGAAAGTCTGGGTTTGCCTGAAATAAGGCCCGCTGAGATAGCACAAAGGACATAGAATTGCAATTGTCGAACAGGATAAAGCCGTGAGAATCTCTGTCGTAATGTTGTAACTCAGCGGCCGTGGCACCCTGGACAGTTTGAATGAAAGGAGGCTTCTGGATATACGTAGGCAAAACGAAATGGAGGCATTTTGCCAAGGTGCTTTTGCCAGCGCGCGAAGGCGCCCGGAGCACAAGAAATTTGTACCGAGAATCTAAAATGGAATACTGTTTGGCCCAGTCTTCGACTCGGGCAACCACTTCTGGCAAAAATGGCTTTTGCAATGGCTGGAGCTGAGCCACCACTTCGGCCTGCTCACGTCGGAGGCGACTTTCGCTCTCCTGCTGCATGACTGCTTCCACAGCGCGTTTGCGGGTGATATAGCCCAAGCGCACCTGCAACCTGCTGCACACGGTGTTGACACTTTTATAGTGATAATTCTGGAGACATTGGCCCTCTTTCTGAAAATGCATCTATAGAATCAGAGACCCCAAGGTATTTTCAAGTTGACAATCTCTTTAGAATCGCTGCCCCCAAGTCACTCTCGTAGAGCCGTTTTTTGGTTGGGGGGGTTAGTTGGCCTTCTATAAAATCAGGCTCCCCAAGTGTCATTCATTGACAGCTGACCTGAATGCTCCAGTTGCTCTTGCCTACCTTACCTTATGCATTCCCAATTTTATAGAGCTCAAAGGCTCCAAGTGTTCACTGTCAACCTCTTCGATTATATACAAGGATGATCAATGATGATGAACGAATTGTTGTGGGAAATTTGTTCTGCCAATACTTCTCTATAGAATTGAAGAACATGACATACACCCAAAGAGAACAGATCCAACTATAGAATCGCAGTGGCTAAGGCTTTCTGCTGACTAGGACTCAGTGCTGTATTCAACATGAAATCTCTATAGAATCAGAGGCCCCAAGGTCCTCTATACAATTGAAAGCGTTGACACTGGGTAGGTACCCCTAAACAAAGCAGGGGGTTAAAACGCACCATTTTCCAGGACCCAACGTTCTTGATTCTGTAGAGGAAATTCCAAGGGGGATATTTGAAGGTATCTGAAGATATGTTACGGCCAAATTATTGCTTATGTTCGGACACGTTATCAGACTCGAAGCAGCACTTTTATAAACAACATAGGTGTTTGTGACGTTCCCTATTCTATGAAATGGACCTGCTATGAAGTGGTCCCACTGAAATTCACATTGGGTTTATGTTATGTTCCATTTCATACAAATCTTTTCGGAGTTGGTCAATATTCTGGTACCCGAAAACTGCCCGCACGCCACCCTTTCGCGAACCGTTCGCGCCCCAGCAGAATCGGGACAAGGAATTCTGATCATGTTTTCGTGCGCATATGTGTTTATAAATAGTGGTATGCAGACCTCGTTGAATTTTAAGGTTTCTCCATCCCACTTTATTACTTGTATATTATGGTACCCATATTCCAGACCACATAAAATATGATAAAGAAACATTTATAGTATGGGTTTAATCATTTCATCCGGACATGGGTTCTTCCCTTCCATATAGAGCTTCAATCAAGGGGGATCGATAAACAGCTATTGACAAGTCAACTGCAATGACACCGCCTAAAGTGAGTCTTTGGCATCCGCACCCCTGGGTCCATGTATATATATAAATAGATATATATATATCCATAGATAGATATAGATAGATATAGAAAGACATATCTTTGTATAGATCTGTCTCGAAGAGAGATATATATATATATGTGTGTGTGTGTGTGTGCGTGTGTATCTAAATCTCTCGAAAAATGTCTCTATATATCTACATATGCTGATCGCCATGCAGCCATGGAGCGTCCAATAAATGTGGACCCTGATGTATCTCCGGAATGAAAACAATGCTGCTTAACCCAGGCACGCGTACTGCAGGTACTGCTGATGAGAAAGCTTGTGCCCACTCCACAGCGCATCCAGCCATCTGCCCTGCACTGTGTAGTCCTTGAACGCCTCGTAGGAGCTGGTGGCAACGAAATGGGTTCCTACCTGCACAGATCGCCCGGGTGAATTCCACCCAGCACTCAAGGCATGTCAGCCGAGGAAATGATCTGGTGGTGGGTCCAGACAATTAGATTAGATGTGATGCTGGCGACGAAACAATCTACATATGCCGCTTGCTGTCAATTCCTGTCTCTGCAAACGGCCATTTATCGCGAAGCAAAAAGTTTCTTTCGCGCATCCTTCGCGAACTGCATGTGTATCTTTCGCGCAACCCATGTTGAGCAATAACTCCGCTTATGAAGATTCAATCGGCACAGGCCAAATCACACCAAATTAGCACGGAAAAGTGCTTCATAGCCTTGCAAACATTGTGCTAGCATCACGGAATCCCCTTCGCGAACAGGTTCTTGCTGCTGAGGAACTTTTTTAGCAAGGCTTACTGGGCCACGCCCTTCAAAATGCCCTTTAACTTTACCTAGTCTTTTGCAGCACTTGCGTGCAACTGTCGTGCAAAGACTTGTCTCCGCAGACCACAGCCAGGAGCACGGGGGGGCGGCAAAGGAAAAGCAAACACCAGGTGCCTTGGTGTTTGGCTCTTGCAAAGTGTCCCTGTTCGAAGCTTGGCTGCTGCATTTCGCGGTTGTTTCTTGAGACTTCAGAAAGCAACGTTAGGCAGGACCAGCGGCAGGTGCAAGGATGTGCTTGGCCACCATGGTATTTGGCTCTGGCGAAGCGTGACCTTCGGAAGCTGGCTGCTACCTATGAAGGGAAAAGCCAATGTGCGGTCCCAGTCTCCTGCCGGACCCCCGACAGCAGGGAGGCGGTGGTAGCCCTTAACAAGCGGTACTGTAGACAATGAGGATGATGCATTCTAGCCACCGTTCGCGACACTTTCGCGAAGCAAACAGTTTCTGTTTCGCAAACAAACTTTCGCGCGGGGTCCCAGCACAAATGAACTGTGTTTGCAATTGAAACTCGTTATCAGGACCTTCAGATGGATCACCACATATATATGTTTATATGCAGAGATATATTTCGATATATCGATAGTGATAAATCTTGAATCAATGCGTACAAAGAAGAAGGATTGCCTATGCAAGACCAACCACGTAGATAGCGGTCCAATGAGTTCAGTTCATCCAAATCAGGCTCGTGGGTGCCCAGACCAAGGTGGCCTACAAAATGTTTGACTGCAAACACGATCTGCTGCAAAGCTGCCAGGTCTACTGATGATCAACTAGAAGCTACGTCATGCTGCTGCCACACGATCGGATTAGTGACAAAGGTGGCCTACATGAACTGCAACTTTCAACATGAGATAGACTGTCGTTACAAGGTAACCCAACGGAGATGCCCCTTTGCAGCCCAAACGTAAAAATGTCCTTGGTCTGCCGCATCTCGCCAGCGTGCGCCCCGTGCCCGACATGGGGAAAGATTGGGCTGAATGCCCTTGAAACGAAGCGCCGTGCATGATTGCCAGTCGACGGGGCGGGCGAATTCCAGGAAGCAATGAATATGTAGACGGCCAGCATCCTCCGAACGCAAACTTGATTCCATCGTGGAACTCATCGAAATCCGCCAGCTGCAGCTGCAAGGAATTGTAGGTTACCAACACTGCTCGTGCTCGAAGACGAAAAGGGCGGGCATCACCTGTGAAAATGTGCAACAATGAAGTGGCTGCGACTAGGACTCATGACTATACCCCTTCTAGTTCAGTCTCTCCCATCTGCATGCAAGGCTGAGGCTTGCCTACTGTCACTGATGCATGTCATGTCCATCCACTGCTCTAGGTCTCTTACCCTCCGGAAAGCACCGTCCCGGATGCAGGGACAGAATGGCAACTACTTGCGGTCTGACCTGGTCCTGGGGCTGCTGCCATATCCACATCCTCTTGGGTCGATGCTGCTGCACCAGCTTCGTCTGCTGCTGCAACGCCCTGCAAAGCTGATTAGAAACAGTGTGGACCAGAAGGCCGTGCAAACCCAGCGAATGGTAGCACCAACCAGGACGGCTGAGCAAGTCGCAGCAGGGTGAGAAATGTGAAAAGTGACCCGAACAACGGGTCGCAGTCTTTAGCACCCGACAAACAGGTGAGGCACCTCATAGAGGTCAATGATGTCCCGCAGCTTCTGAGTGTCACTCGGAGACAAGGTGCAGTTCTCCAGGCGCTGTCGTTGCGCTGCAAAGTCGGCGCGAGACAATTCACCCCGAAATTTCGGCACCTCGAGCTGGTTGGCTTGCAGCAGTTCCCGCAACGACCCGCACGCAGCACGCTTCCGTGTCGTGGAGGATCTCATGGCTCGGCCCAAGTGCAATGCGGAAACATCCTGTCTGCATGGCATGTCTTGGGTGCAAGGCTCCAATGCGATGTGCTACGTCAGTTGCTTGCGACACCCCGCTTTGCTGTCAGGTGGCCCATTTCCTTTGGAGAGGGCTTGACACTAGAAACAGCAAGGAACTCACCACCACGTCCTTAAAGCAGAATGCAGGTCACAGGCTTGAGCATGAAAAAAGCACATGGAGCAGATAGTCTGCTAGGATTCCATTGTCACAAACAGCTGGACGTGCATATGGCCCACAGGTCTGGAAAAAGCGTGTCGACCGTTGACACCCAGGAATGCTGCTGATGATTTCCGCTAGAGAAATGTGACTGGTAGAGGCACGTGTCTGAGTAGCAATATCTACAGAGACGGTCTGCCCCAGAAACAAAACCGCTCACGGCCCATGTTTTCACCCGACGTGACTGCAGTTCTCTCCGGCTGCCGCTTCGCACACGTGCGATCCACAGACGCCATGCTGCGACAGCACTGCAAAAAAAAGGAATGGAAGCTGGAAGAAGGGGTGGAAAAGAGGTAGATGTGATGTGGGAACATGGCCGCTGCAAATGATGGAATGGGAAGGATGTGCATGGGGGTAATGTCTTAAAGCTGCTGTTGCTGCTGCGCGCGACAGTACGCAATTACTATAGGCGGGACCGCAGCGGGACCGCGGCGGGACCGCAAAATGTGGGAATTCCCACGATTCCAGGTTGCAGGCGGGACCGGTCCCGCCGTCGGCGGGGCCACTTTTCCTGTGAATTTATAGGAGCGGGACCGCATACCCCGTTTGGGAATTATAATAATATACCAGGGGGGGTCAGGTGATGTTTTGGAGGTGGGGGTGGGAAGATTCTTGGGGAGGTGATGTTTTGGAGGTGGGGTGTGGGAAGATTCTTGGGGAGATATCTTGTCTATCTAGCGTTGTATCCCTGGATGTCTTCTAAATGGGGTCTCTGGACCGCGCATGTCTTCCAAGCGCTTTGTCTTCGACATGGCGCTTGCAAGTCTGCGGTTTCCAGCTTTCACTCCTGCCGCGCTATGCCTTTGGCATTGGGATTTTCAGCCTTGACATGGTCTCATTCCAAGCGCTCTATGTCTTGACCATGGCGCTTGCAAGTCTGCGGTTGCCAGCTTTCCCTCCTAGTGTCCATGCCTTTGGCATGGTGCTTTCGAACCTTCACATGGCCGCTCTCACTCCAAGCGCTCTATGTCTTTGGCATGGCGCTTTCCACATAGTGCACGGCTTGACTCTACTCATGCGGGCTTGCCATTGGATGCATGCGACGTGCCAGCAGCCACGTCAAATCACTCACATCCAGCTTTCCTGCTTGTCGTAGAAGACGTCTTCGTTTCCTTTCCTGCAGGCTATGGAGTACATGTCTTTCAACATGGGTTCAGCGTTCACATGTCCCACCTGCACTCACGAAAAAACACCGTATCCATGCATTTACATGCACTCTCCTGGTTCTGTAGTTCTTTGGTGGCTGCTGCTAACTGGCGTTTCAAATTTTTGCGCTCTTCCTTCAGCACAGCAACCCTATCAGCCGCGGCCGGTGGGGCTGCAGCTGCCGCGGCGTTTGCATCAGCAGCGGACATGGCACTCAAGGCGGGCGAACAACAGGCTTGCTCCACTCAAACTGCATGCAGTCCTCAAGATGATCCTGTGTTCTCTTTGTGCTTGCCTGGTACCTCCTTTTCACCCCTGTTCACGACCCCAGAAACATGGCTACGAGAATGTGACAAAATGGTCATGCACCGATGTACCCTGATAGTATATATATACGTATATACACGCATATGTATGGTTCAAATTTGTAAACAACTAGATAAAACTATTAATAGTTATACATATTTTATGGTGTGTAGATGTATGTCTCATGTCATTTGCATCAGTATGTAGTCCGATATTAGTAGGATCAATAGTAGAAGCTACTCGGTGCTCAGCACCTGATGACAAGGCGTTGATGCGAGCGATGATGGTGTTCTCTGACCTGGCTCATCAAGCGAGGTAGCGTTTCCCATGTTCTTTTTATGGGCCAAAGAGGGGTTGGAGGGTCCTACCCTCTACATGAATCATGAACATATGGAACATCCACCATTGATTCGAATTTCCTTGGGAAACCCATGGGTTTTCCACGTAACTTACTGGAGGGTGCGCACCAGATGTGCTGGGATGGGATTCATCAACCTGGCATGCAATGGCCTTCACATGTGATACACCGCGAATCCTATGTATAGAGATGTCATTCCTGTCGTGTCATCGTTTCAGTCAGATGCAAACAGCACGTTTTGGTCCCTTGTACGTACTATAACTACACTTACCAATTAGTAAAAACAAAAACGAACAAGTCATTAAACTGGGATAAACCACCTGATTATGGCTTTGCTTGCCATGGCTACTGACAATCTACCAAGTATTCCCAGAATAAACTCCTGTGATGGTGGATTGATGGACTATAGTTGGCAGCCCAAGTTCTAAGAAGGAATAATACATTTTCAGATTATCATATGATAAATATATCATATGATAATGATATAACATTCATATAGTTGGAATATACATAATCATAATCATAGTGGATTATAGGTGTTCACATTATCAATCATAATTATATGTATGTCATTATATGCATTATATGTCCCACCTTTGAAAGCCTCTTTGAGGTGTAAAAACTGTAAGCCAAAACCGACACCCAAAATCTTTCCTGGTGCTCAAGATTTTGCCACAGGGAAATCTACGAAACCGGGAAATCTACAGGGAATATGTTGTGTTTTTTTTGTTGAGGGTTCTTAAGCAAATCCCGGCAAAGATGGTTTACATCCGCGTTTTTTTAGATGTTGTTCAGCATCACCTGTGTAAGGGTGGTGTTTTTTTTTGTAGCTCCAAAGAACGGTAGCGACATGTAGTGACTAGTTACATCTAGTTACATAAACGCATTGTATACACCATTATTCTTTGAAACTTAAACACATATATCTATATACATATATATATGTATGTATGTATGTCATAGGTTTAGGAAATCTCCTGAGCTTTCGGAAATCTAACGAAAAGTCAACATCACCCATGTTCAGCAGGGCTTCTCACCATGGCCAGGCCTTTACAAACTTCAAATACCTGGGCCACGATGCTGGAGCAAGAGCTGAGTTGGAATCTGAGATTTTGAGAAATGGCGAAAAATGGTGATTTTTTTTACCAAGAAACATGTTTGGTGTTTTTTCAAGCAACTATGGGAATATCATTGGGGATATTTTAGGGAATATAACCAACATTAATAGGTTCTTAATTGGTTAGTATCCGTAGTATCCTCCCAACTTGCCATTTGAATAGGACAAGTATGATAAACAATGCACATTTGAAATGTTGGTACCCTATCTTCAGGCAGACCCGAAGATGGTGGAGAAAGCAATACTGTACTAAAATTGAACTTGTTTGTGTTTGGGATCTAGGACTATGACATTCCTAAAACTGATGTTAGGGAAGAGAGTTTGAAAAAAACAAGGAAGATGTAGTCCCGACAATTGTCCCTTCAATACCTTCATGAGAGCACGAAGAGTATACCCCACATACTAGATTCTAGATGTGATGTTTCATCAGCAACAATGATACTATCGGTACTGGTGCCACCAAGACAATAAATCGGATGTCATGTGGCACTCTCTGGTAAACTATAAGATAGCAAGTTTGAAAGCACCAGGTAAATCATTGTAAATCAACTATATATAAATCTTTATAAATATGCACATGTTCAATCGCATACTGTTCTATTCACGAAAGCTAGCGTCAGCTAGCTGGAGTCTTCTTGCTTTAGCAAGTATTGGGGGGGCTGCTCAAGGACATCACGTGATTTTTCACGCGAAAGGGGCCCCCCCCCTCCCCCACCACCACCACCATCACCACCATCATCATCATCATCATCATCGTCATCATCATCGTCATCATCATCGTCATCATCATCGTCATCATCATCGTCATCGTCCTCTCCATCGTCCTCGTCCTCGTCCGCGTCCTCGTCCTCGTCATCATCATCATCATCATCATCGTCGTCCTCGTCATCGTCCTCGTCATCGTCATCGTCATCATCATCATCCTCATCATCATCCTCGTCATCATCATCATCATCATCATCATCATCATCATCATCATCATCATCATCTCATCATCTCATCATCATCATCATCATCATCATCATCATCATCATTCATCATTCATCATTCATCATTTCATCATTCATCATTCATCATTCATCATTCATCATTCATCATCATCATCATCATCATCATCATCATCATCATCGTTATTCAATTACATTTTATCATTATTGGCAATTATTGTCATTATCACGAAAGCTAGCGTCAGCTCGCTAGAGTCTTCTTGCTTTAGCACGTATTCCGGGGCTCCCCAAGGACATCACGTGATTTTTCCCGCGAAAGGGCCCCCCCCTGCCCCCTCCCCCATATATATCATTGTTATATATCATATGTGCAATGGTCAAAAGACGCTATGAAAGGCTTCAATTACGATCCGCCATCGCTACTCAAAACATGTGATTTACTGTGTGTAGCGATAGGGGGCCTTGTGTAGCGATACATCTTTTTAGACTTTGTTTATGATTGAACCTTCCTGATGGGCGCATGACTTTCCAATCTTTTGATGTCAGAGTGTGACACTGGAGCAGTCGCAGTGGGCTGGTCTTCCTGGGTAGTTGCAAGATGGCCTGTCGTCAAGTATATATGAGATAGTTACATTAAACAATGTTGATATATTGTGGTACGTTGATCTATAAGGTATGCAAGAAACTAATTCATAACGCATCATGAGCTTGATGATGGTGATGATGCTGATGATGATGGTGATGGTGATGATGTTGATTCAGATAGTGACCAGGCTGAGATATGTTGAAAAAGCATCCTTGTGCGGTCACGGACGCTTCTCCAAAGCCACTGTCCAGGAGTAGAATTGCAACATGGAGCTTGTCAGAATTTCGTGTCACTTGAAACATACCCCTGAGATCACACATTTTCTGGTCCCCGTAGCGATGCCCGAAGCGATACCCCTCGATACCCAGAGCGATACCTGAAATCCATGAAATTAGGGAGTACCCCACATGGCCACTTGAAACTATACAACTTGTGCTATAGGTGGAAAAATATGGGAAGTATGAACAAGGGTACCCTCAAGTTCTTAATGGGTTAGTTCTTAAAGGGTTCATTTGGTCAGGGTTTTGCCGATTCATTTTGGCGTGGTATTAGGTTGCAAAGGAGGCGGGGAAGAAAAAAAGGCGCCGGAAACAAGGCAGCACAGGCAAGACAAGCCAAGACAAGCCAAGGGCAGCCTCCGAGGTCAGATGACCTGCAGTGAGTCCGGCTGGTGTCTAGCTGAAGCTGTCGACGTCAGCCTTGGTGACCACGTAAAAGTTTGAATTTCCCTGGAGATACCATCGCAAGAGGAATAAGTAATAAGAATCCGATTCCTCATCTGGATCCTCTTCTTCTAGCAGCAATTCTGCCTAGTTGGTGAAAAGGGTGCTGGGACTGTGTGTAGCGATAGGGGGCCTTGTGAAGCGATGCCATGACCTCACCACATGAATTGAGTTTCGACCGTCGCACATATATCAATATATCATTGTTGCATCCTCGTTGGGACGAACAATGCCGCGACACGATGATGACAGTTCCTCTGCAACTCACCTCTTCCCTTCCTTCTTTCTCCTACCCCGCTAGCTTTCGTCATCCACCCCCGGCCTCAAGTAGGATATACCATGGTAAACCCACTGACGCGGCTCCTTTTTTTTGATGCCACAGCTGGGATGATGAAAGTCCAAGGGACTGGTACCCTAAGGTAAGCGACATGTTTATAGCTAGGCAAAGTATGGTTTGTGCGACATATGTATGTATATATATATATACATATAAATATACATATATATAGAGAGAGAGATATTGGGTCACAAAGCAAATAATTATAAATAATTACTTATTTACGGCTCCCCACTGACATATTCTTTGTTGCCGCAATGAGGTGTCCAAAATGAGCGTGAGCGTGACTTGGGGCTTCAGGCAGGGTCTTGGGGACTTTTTCAACATGAGGATTCATCCACAACACACGGGATTTGATGGAAGATATGATATACCACATAAAACCAATAATGGCTAGTTGTGGTTTGGAACATTTTTTTTTCATATATTGGGAATAATACTCCCAACTGACTAATATTTTTCAGAGGGGTTGAAACCACCAACCAGATGGGATTATATTACTATCTATAATATCATATACTGTAATATATAACCACAATCATGGATTTGTTTGTCTGAAAATTGGGGCACAAACCCATTTTTCCTGCAAACCCATGTTGAAGAACCCCCCCTTTCTTTGCGGGGCCATCGAATCGTTGTTAGCGACTCCCAAGATGAATTATTGATGAACCAGTTGCACAGTTGATATCTGTGACAATTGTTTTTTGAATATGATTGATTTTTTTTTTAAATATATTTGGTGGATGTGTCGAAAACATGAGACAGTCAAAACGCAAAGATTTCCACTGAAAACCCAATTAGACAATGCACAGATTTCCACTTTGGTTTTCAACCTTGGACTAGTCCGACACGCAAAAAGATGCTCCGACAGACTCTCCCAGGTCTAATGAGCTATACTAATTGGTTTGTCAGAAAATCGGGTACCCTCAATGTCAATGGATAAAATATCATTCCCACATGCTCCATTTTTCGGAATATTTATACCTACATGTGGGGTTTGACTTGGGGGTGTTAAAAAGTAGCAAACATATTCCATACATTAAGAGCATCTGGGATGGTTTTTCCCTTATAAAAAATCGCTATGTGTGGAAACACCCATGGTATCCCAATCCAGTGGATGTCCCTGGCATTGTCTCTTCACATTCCAGGTGCTTCCGTTGAATCGGTGGAAGTCGGGGGACTCAGCGGTGAAAATCCAAGTTTTCACCATGGATTTTCATCGTGGCACATGGTAAAACATGAGGATGTTAGCCATCAAAAGTGTGAAACAAATGGTGATTTGGAGTGCAAAACCTTGCAATCTTATAGAATCTTATGGGATATTCTTCGGTCGATGATTTGGTCAAATGCAAAGTAGGTATGGATCATAATATTTTAATTGAAGTCAGAGGCGTGCACGTCTCTTTTCAGTGTACAGTCCATCAATGTTGATCCATGTACACTCTGACAAGGGTACACGGGTACACCTTTGGAAATTGTAATGTCCAACAGGAATGTGATTTACAGTACTAGTACCATTGTTTGCGCGTAAAATTTCGACTGCCTACTGGAAAAAGGTAGTTGATTCCAAGAAGATGTTTTGATTCGTGTTTTTTTTGAAATGATTTGTTTTTTTAGTCCAAGTTTTGGATTGGTTATATACCCAATTGACTCATATTGGGGATGGGTTCAAACCACAAAGGAGCTTTGTGTCCAAAATAAAAACATATACAAACTATATACTGTATTGGTTGATACCCCCGTTACGTATTCTTATTATTTTCTATCCCACTTATATCCCAGTAGGTTCTCATAAGCCATGTTGATACCAGGTGGGACCTCCAATGTCATGATTAAACTCCTCAGCAAAGATCTAACTTTGAGTACTTAAAAATTATTTGGTATTTTCAGTTATAAATCATAAAATAAACTAACATAATTACTGTACCCTCCAGTAATGAAACATTGCAATGAAAAATAATCTATAAATGGATGTTTTGATGGGAAATCCCTTATGAATGGAGGATTTTCAATTACCACGTTTGATTACCGGAGAGTAAATAAAAGTTTCCAATGGCTTTTGAAGGCATACTTAGGCCGTTGGCATACTTATATGGGGGCATACATGAATTTTGAGTTCCTGCTTTTCGTGGCTGCCACGCTTGAGACGATTTCTGTGGTTTTCACCATGGTTTTCATTCATTGGTTCTCAACACTGCACACCACCCATCCTCCAATGGCTCCAGCCCAAGGCCGTCACGCAGCGACTTGCAACTCCACCTTGCGCTCAGTAGATCTGGGTGCGCGCGGAAGGGCTAGAGTTGGGAATGGGGTCCTTTGTTCAATGAAAAAAACATATTTTAAGCCATGGGATGAAATCAATGTCAAGCTCGTATCTTCAAGTATATTCTTTGTAATTCTGCAATATTTTTTTGTGAAGATTCGGAAGAAGCTCCAAAACGGATTGGTATAGTAGATGTGGATCCCAACTGGGGCCAGTAGGCCAGGGGTGTTGTTCATGGTACACATATCCAGACATAGTTGGAATTGGATGGATAAACATAAACCAACCTACATATCCCATTTGACTCTGGATATTTTCTGGAATTCAGAAAATGTCCAGGGTCGGTCAGATGGTTTCAAATAAACTCATTGGAGTCCAACGTGGTCTAAACCATCTTTTTTGTTTAACCAGGCTTTGATGTTTTGTCCCAGGTTCGGAGTCAGAAGTCAGATGGTTTGAACTTAAACTGTTGCAAAAATGACCAGTTTACCATCTGATACTGTAAATTACCATAGCTATGGAAAATGGTTGATCAATAGTTAATCTACAATAGTTTTCATCTACATTGGAAAATCACCATTGTTTTTTCCATATTTTTACTTTATGTAGATCAACTATTCCAAACAGACCATTTTCAATAGCCATGGCCCCACCAGGGCCCCATGTCATGAATGGCCCGTGTCACCAGGCCGTTGCTGGGAGCTCTGCTGCACATCTTTCCCGCCTTGGCCGCAGCATCTTGGCGAAGCGTCCCCGTTTTTGATTTCTGTGAGTTAAGATATCTCTATATCTCTCTATATATATATATGTATGTATATATATATATATATGATGTATGTATTATACAGATATATATATATATACATATATATATATATATACATATATACATATATATATATACATGCATATTATAATGCCAAGTGATATATATATATATAGTACTTAAGTTGATATAATATATATATAGTGTATTTCCTACACAGCTGACACTGAAGTTAATGTATATTTAAAAAAAAAAAACATCCCCTGGGTAGCTGGAGTTTAGGATATCGAGCCCACTGGGGATCATGTGAACCATTCGAAACATATAGGGTTCCAAAAAAACATGTCCCTTCTATAAATGGTAGCCCTCCCAATTAGTCAACTCGGGGTTTTTGACAATCCGAGCTTGATATGAACATCGGTTTAAGATAAGAGTCTTGGACAAGAGCTAGATTTGCTCGTCAGAGACTCCACTTTATGTTCTCTACCAGGAATTTCCAGACTGTTTGTGTTTCATGCTTGGGTTATTCTTCCCCATCCAAAAGAGTAGACAGAAGAATATCCAGCTCAGCTAACCTGGAAGAGATAAAGCTCCCTACGAGCTGGGATGATCGACTATGACTCAACTGTTACTAGATGTGTACTGAATATCCCCCATATACCAGTGTGTAACACGCAGTTGCTTTCGCAGCTCTCGCATTGAATTTGCACCGGGTACACCTTGGTTGGTTAGTTTACTGGTCCATGTTCTTGCGATAAATGGGGCGAGGTACTACCATGTTAAACATATTTAAACATGATAGTAGATCTATTATGAATTTATAGAATATACTATACATACATATGTATATATATATATATTCATATTATGTATATGTATACATATATACATATAATCATATATAATCATATATATATATATATTCATATTATGTATATGTATACATATATACATATAATCATATATAATCATATATATATATTCATATTATGTATATGTATACCTATATACATATAATCATATATAATCATATATATATATTCATATTATGTATATGTATACATATATACATATAATCATATATAATCATATATATATATTCATATTATGTATATGTATACATATATACATATAATCATATATAATCATATATATATTCATATTATGTATATGTATACATATATACATATAATCATATATAATCATATATATATATTCATATTATGTATATGTATACATATATGCATATAATCATATATAATCATATATATATTCATATTATGTATATGTATACATATCATATATAATCATATATATATATTCATATTATGTATACGTATACATATATACATATAATCATATATAATCATATATAATCATATATATATATATAGAGTAATAAAATTTGCCAATTTCTGGGCTCCGGAGGCATCGGACCAGCTGGCAGACAATGCTCGAAGCGCGATGCCTCGGATGGCGAGACGTGGGGGACGTGCTATGATGCTTCCTCAAGTGATTTAACGGCACTATGGTTCCAATATGTTCCAATGAGCTTTTGAAAACGCTGGGGAAATGGTTCCGAATGGTGATTTAACATGATTTAACTATATATTTAATTACTGTAACTATGATTGTCATTGCCTCAAAAGTATGAACACCAGCCGCCAGCAAGTTCCGTTCATCAGCGGGGCCATGAGAGGTCAACATCCCTCGGGCCCAGATGGATCCAACGGTCACCAAGTTTTACCCCACGTTGTTACAATGACCCAAAATCTCAGAGACTATAGTGACTATAGTGACTAGAGACCTGTAAAGTTCTTGAGTGCCATAGTTGTCATAGTACATCATATGGGGTGCCTGAGGTTGGTCACATGAGTGTGTTGCGCAAGAGGAGGTGCCGGTGGCGGAGGAAGTGTTTTAAAGGGCTCACCAGCTCTGTTGGAGCCGAGACAGAACATGTCCGACTGTTCTGAGACCCGTCTTCTGCGGACCTTCTTAGTACGGGTGAATAAAACAGAACAGTTAATCCTACATGGAGATGAAGATGGATGAAGATGGATGAAGATGGCTGAAAATGGATGAAGCTGGATGAAGATGGATGAAGATGGATGAAGATGGATGAAGATGGATGAAGATGGATGAAGATGGATGAAGATGGATGAAGATGGATGAAGATGGATGAAGATGGATGAAGATGGATGAAGATGGATGAAGATGTATGAAGATAGATGAAGATGGATGAATATGGATGAAGATGGATGAAGATGGATGAAGCTGGATGAATATGGATGAAGATGGATGAAGATGGATGAAGATGGATGAAATATGGATGAATATGGATGAAGATGGGAAACTTCAGAGGATCATACTTTCAAGCTCTCCAATTTCTGTTGTTCCTGGTGTAAATATTGTATTTATATAATTATCCCTCGAGTGGCATAGACGATTAGGTCATCCTTCACATGCTACCGCACCAACACACACAGACACACTATATATATACATACATATACGTATGTAATCATATATATATATAGTAATGATTTCGAAAACTATATGATTATATATGTATATATATATATGCTCTGTTTATGGCATTCTGTTTTATTTGCAGTTTATGGGCCC